GGCACGTGGCACGTGGCACGGGCGCCCCTCCCTCCCTCCCTCCCCGGGCCAGGCGAGAGAGGAGCGTCTCAGGGCCCCCTCCGGCCCCGCCCGCCCGCCGAGAAGAGCCCTGAGCCCCGGGTGGCCGCAGCGCCCGCCTTGTGTGGCCATCACACGGGCACTCCCCGCCCGTCCTGGACCTTGAGTGCCTGTGCTGCTCTCCTTCTCGGACGCGGGGGTGATTGAGGGGAGGGAGGGAGGGAGGGAGGGAGAAGGCCGGTCTCCCCTCTGGCGACTGGCTCGGAACTGAGTGAGAAACGGGGATCAGGCCGGAGTGTGGGCTGAAGAAGACCGGGGGAGACGGGGCCACTGGTGGCTTCAGAGCAGCCCCCCCCCCCTTTCCCCTTCCCCTTTTCCCTTTATGAGGAGCAGTTCATTGGGGATGGATCCCAGAGGGACAGGACTTGGGAGTGGAGGCCTGGAACAGCCATGGAGCTTGCTGCATGTGGTCCCACTAGACTGGTAACTACGGATAGAGCCGCCCTCTAAAAATTTGTGTAAACCTTTAAAAAAGTCACGTACACTTGTCGCCATTACTATCCCTTGTGAGTTCCATATGTGTTTTGTCTGCAGCGTTTCTTTGCCAAGCTCCCTGAATCTGTTTCCGTTTTTTCTCTACAAACTGGAGGGATCTGGAGTGGAGGGGATGGGGAGGAAACAATTTAGAGTGTCGTCGTGGGCCACGGCTTAAGGCATGACAGAAAATATTGGGTCAAAAGTGGTTCTTTTAGAAAGGGAAAATGATTTGGGTGTTTACTGTTCACCCACTTAGAATGGAGCAGAGGTAGTTTGTGGTCAAGTGCTCAGCCTCACTAGTTTGTCTTTTGTGAAACGGGTGTTACAGCAGTAGTTGCGGAGTCAAATGTTTAGTTTGGTGGCTGGGTACCACCTCTGCCTTGTGCTTTGTGGTCTTGGACAAGTCTCTTTGCTTCATCCAGCACTCTGTTTCCAATGACGCCAGGCACCAGTGGAATGCTGACAAGCAAGTGTCTCCCTGGTGTTTTGTTTCCCTGGTGTCGTATTCAGAGGTGTTCTTCCTTTAAGCACCTCGGTTCCGTGTAGCTAGGATGGACCGTGGAAGGGACTTGGGACCTGGGAGTGGAACTGGCCGGCACAGCTTAGGAGAAGCTCTGGGTTGAAGGAAGGTGAGATGGGAGTGGGTTGGCAGGGTCAGTGGGGGAAGCCTGCCTACCCCATTCCCCCCCCCCAGATATCTCAGAATGCTTAGCGACTTTGTGAAGTCCGACATTAGAACGGATTCCAGAGTAAAAAAAGGCCCTGCTAGCATTTCAGGAAGACATAGGGGTACAGCATACTAAGCTACAGGACCAGAGTGCTTATCTAAAAGAGTCCAGTTACTCCCTGCTTAAAGTTTAATGTATACAAAGGCCTATGGAGATTCTTGCCTGCCTGGAAGCCATGCCACAAATCATAAACACCGTGGGTTGCTGGGAATGAGATAACATGGTGGTAAGGGGCACTCTGTCTGTGCTCAGAAACATTCTTGTAGGCACCCTATTTTCAAGGGCAGAGAAGATAATTAGATCAAATGTCAAAAGGCTGTTCCAGTCATAGTAATTACATTAGGAGGGGTCTGGAAACCAGCAATCCCTCTCTTAGTAACAAGGATTCCTGCCTCCAATATTTGTGACAATTAGCTCAAGGAACATGTGCCATTGTCATTATCCACCCTTCAAAAATATTTTTCCCTGATTTTTTCCTAAATTAAAAATAAATCATTTAACTTTGCAGCACACTAAGTCCAATCCTGTCTCCATCCCCACTATAGTGCAGGGACGAAGGGTATTGCTGAGGATGGCCATTTGTAGTAAACAACCCCAGAAGAAAGTCACATTGCCATGGCAGATGAAGTCCTTTTGTCTGGAAGCCAAGTTCTGAGGCCCAAGAATAAGTGAGGTAAAATGTATTCTGGATCCAAGCATCAGTGTGTTTCAGCTTCAAGAAGCTGCTGGAGATCTTACATAACAATTCACAGTGAGATCAGTGTATCGGATATACGGACTGTTCTAGAACTGCATATGTTCTTTAAACAATAAGAACCGCAGCATCTGGGAACAGTCCTAGGTGAAATAATTGTGACATTTGCATTCCCGTTCCTGGGGCAGAATTCTGGCACACACAAAAACCAGTTCCCAGGGCTGAACTCTAGCTCAAAGTCAACCCCAGGCCTCCTGCCTCCCCCTGGAGGTAAGTACCAGCCAGACATTTAAACCTGCCCATCATCCTTTGCAGCATGATGTCGAGATGTTGGACCCACGTGGCCGGACACCCCTGGAGCTGGCCGTGTCCCTGGGGAGCCTGGAGTCTGCACGGGTGCTGCTGCGACACAATGCCAACGTGGGCCGGGAGAATGGCAGTGGCTGGACAGGTATGGGAGTTTGGTGGTGGTGGTGGTGGAGCACTACAGGCGACGCTTCAGCCTCTGGCTTCTCCACTTGAATAAGACAGCTCCTTATATTCTAGGCAGAAGGGAGAGTGGGAATGTGGAAGGGGTGATTGTGAAAGTGGGGCAGGGGAAGGCAGCTGTTGAGAATGATTTGAGACATCAGGGATGTGGTTGTGGCCGCAATGTTCCCTCTAAGCTGTGGAGTCTTGTGAGCAAAAATTCTACTTTGTGAGCTGTTGGCATTAAAGTTGTGAGCGAGCGACTTGGCTACGGCATAAAATGGTTTGCTCTGGAGCCATCTTCCTGAGCGAAGATGAAAATATGTGAGCTGGAGACTAAAAAACTATGAGCTAGCTCACACTAACTCAGCTTAGAGGGAACAGTGGTATGGGGAGTGCGCAACATCACTGAAGGCCCAGAATCCAGTACACATTTTTTCCCCATACATTCTGTCTGTTTTGGAGATAGAACAGTTATGTTCCCCTTCTTTTCTGTGGTTTTGTTCGGGATACCTGATTTTTCTGGCTTTGGTTCCCAGAGCCCTGCTTTGTGTGCCTTGTGTGGCAGATGTTTCTCCAGGAATTGAGCAACAGTTAGCGGGATTCCTGTGCCCTTGGCAGTCAGACATACCCTTTTGGCAAATCAATAGACTGTCTCCTCTCCTACCAGTTTTCAGTGAGGATAAAAGAGACATTGGATTGGACATAAAGGGGGAGATGGACAGGGAGTGGTTCCAGGAAGCGGATACTGATATTTTCTTTTCCACTGTGCTTTAGTCCTGCAGGAGGCCGTGAGCACAGGAGACCCAGAAATGGTGCAGCTGGTGCTCCAGTATCGTGATTACCAGCGTGCCACACAACGCCTAGCTGGCATCCCAGAACTTCTCAACAAACTACGTAGAGTATGTGCCGTCATCTTCTGGCTGATTTTGATCTCCAAGCATTTTCCATCCCCCTCCAGTGTTCATCCACCATGGAATGTCCATCTTGGACTCCTGTCAGCAACCTCAGCAGAAGGAGAGAGGGAGAAGCCTTGCCTGGATATCTTATTAGAATCTCCCTCTCTCTATCCTGAAGCTGTGGTTGCAGGTGCACTTTTGTAAATGAACACTCAAAATTCTTCTCCTACAAGAAGTTTCAGCAGTAAATCTCTCACTTCTCTACAATACGTATGTATGGAATCATTGAAGTTTCACTATCTGTGGTTCTCCAATACATGTTTCAGTTTGCAAAAAATCATTATCCCTCCCATAGTTAGGGGCTTAGAGGATGCATTTGAAAAATACACTTTCAGGATGACAGAAGTAGTTACTCTGAATCCCAGGTTGCCATTGCTGTCCTTTTAACTCTGGTTCCTCGGGGATATTTGAATCACTTTTGGGCTTTCTAGTAGTAACAATCTAATTTAACACTGAACTCCCATTGGAATAGTATGACTAGTAGTGTTAGGGTTATGTCCTGTAGTAGTACAAATACACGATATGTAGAGAGTAGGGATTTGCTGTTCCTTCTCTTTTTTCTTGTCTCTGTTGATCCTGTCCCTTTCTCTGGTTTTCTGTCTCACCAGGCTCCTGATTTCTATGTGGAAATGAAATGGGAGTTTACTAGCTGGGGTAAGTCAGTGCTTGGAATTCCACCATTTGGGAGTGAAGCTAGAGCAGGTGAATGGAGATGACTGTCCTGGAAAAAGTTTTAAGCAGACCTTAGGAACTCAGGCAAGTGTGGTACAGTGATGAGAAAATTCAACAAAATACATTGGACAGAGCTCAGGGCCAATGAGCGCCTGCTCTTTGACTCAGTTCTCCCTCTGAGGCGGAGGACATCTGCATGGGTTATTCCCACCGTGCCAATAGGGAGGCAGGAAGTGGATTTCCCCCCCCCGTTGGTGCCTTTGGAATATCCCATCTCCAGTTCTGTTCCTGCCTCACTAGAGAGAAGCAGCACAATTTAGCTAGGCTTAGCTAACTTTGAAAGTTTAAAACTCCTAAATACTTTTTATTCCTTCTAGCCTGCCTTGCCCTTCTTACCTTGTTATACTTTCTTATTCCACTCCTTCTAACTTCTCTCCTTTGCTCCAATCTCGGAGCGAAATTAAACAGGGGTCTGTCGACCTGAAGAGGCCTCACAAACAGCGATGGCCGACAAGGAACTTCCTGAGGAGTTCTCCTCAGGCGACGAGGGAAACGCGACTGCCGCATCGGCGGTTCCTTCTAACTTCTCTCCTTTGCTCCAATCTCGGAGCGAAATTAAACAGGGGTCTGTCGACCTGAAGAGGCCTCACAAACAGCGATGGCCGACAAGGAACTTCCTGAGGACTTCTCCTCAGGCGACGAGGGAAACGCGACTGCCGCATCGGCGGGAGCGCGGGAGAGCACCGGGACCGATCAGCCTTCGCGGTTTGATCGTGCGTCCACAGCAGAGGCTGCGGAGGTCTCAGCGGCGGCGCACAGCGCCAAGAAGTGCCGCTTGCAGCCCGAGTCAGATGAGCCCGC